TGGATGGATGGATGGATGGATGGATGGATGGATGGATGGATGGATCTACATTAAAACATGTCTGCATTTTTAGAGCCACAATAAGGGACAGAGAAGAGAGGGACTTTCATGTAAGCTACTGGATGAGTTCACAACAGAGAACCTGCTCTGCAAACTTGTAGCTGGATTTGCATCATGACATCAAAATTAACTGATTCTATAATTAATTTCAAAATGACAATAATTCAGTTCTGAAGTTGTTAATCCCATAAACAGATCCTTCAGCTTGCATTATTACATCTAATTGCTACAGCCACTCCAGTTCTACACAGACAGAAAATTATGTTGGTTTAACAAAAATATAAGATATCTTATAAAGTCAGATTTAATAAATGTAAAAGTAAAATTTTAGATTTGGGAAATGCTACAAAAATATTTTTGTTTTATTGTCTCTTACAGTGACTGTATATCATGACCATGGCTCTAAGACTTGGCCTAATTGCTAATTTCTTTCACCTGCCTAACTCTGCCCGGTTTCCAATCACCACTCATCTTATTCACCTTTCGTAGAGTTCCTGATTATGTCCTGTCTCTAATCCACTGAGCATGCCCTGTTCCTGACTTGGCTCGGTGAAGTGCAAAATAAATATGATGCAAAATGTAGTAGAACACTGAGTTCAGTTCTTTTTATAAGGATTTGAAAATTTGCCATGTAGTGCAAATATGATGATAAGAAGTTTGATGCAGAGTCTTGATTTGTGACTGGATTACAGTAGAATTTCCAGAGTTCAACAGTATTATGGCAGCGGGGGAAAAGCTTTTGCAGAACCCGCTGGTCCTGCATTGAATGCTGTGAAGCCTTTTCCCAGAGGGCAGCAGGGAGAACAATCCATGGTGAGAGTGTTAGAGGTCAGTGGTGATGTTACCAGCCCGTGAAACGCAGCGTTCCCTCCTCTTTAATGGATGGAACAGGAGCCCAAATGATCCTCTGCTGTTCTCACAGCTCTGTCTGTAAGGGTAGGATTGTGTAAATGTGAAGTTTCCTTCGTCAACTTTTCAGATAGGAGGTTTGCCTGCAACGCCCAACCTGCTGAACATCCTAGGCCCCAAGTATGAGCAGGGCCCGCCCCCTCCACATCTTATGCTTCCCGCAGTGACAGATGCCATTGTTTGCTGGTATGCTGATGGTACTCTAGGCACTTTGTTTTTGCTTTGTACTTGTGACACTTTTAAGACTATAAGGTTTGATTCTAATTCTAATTCTCTTATCCTTGTGATCTTGGGCTTGTGTTGACTCTTTATCGATCCTGAGGGCCTGTAGGAGGAGTCTAGGGCCACCCACACCTGTTATCAATTTTTCTACAGAAGAAGCTTTGTAAACCCTTTATACATGAGCATGACCATGCATACATACCCCAGAAATTTGTTTCCAGGTGTTGGACTAAAACTGGACTAAAACTATCACATATCACATATCGTAATGACTAAAATGTGACTAAAACTAATGAAAGTTTTTGTCCTGAAGACGAAAACTATCACTAAATCTAAGATGGCTTTCAAAAACAACCCTGCTTCACTGCTTTTCTGCAGGGTTAAAATTAATGAAATACACTTTGCCTAGCCAGAGCAGGGCTGGACCTTATGCCATTTTGTCCTCCTTTTCTTTGCAAAGAAAATAAAGTGCAGACTGAGTGAATTGCCATCTATTGCCTTTATTTAACTGGATTGTAAAGTTGAATACCTTTTCCTACTACAGCTACTATGTACTTACAGAAGAAGGAAAAGAAAAACACATATTCGAGAACAATAATCAAAAAAAAAAGGAAGCAATGATCCACAGTTAAGCCTAGAATTTGTTTGTGCTCCCCACTTACAGTATCGTCAAGCATCTAAAAGTTCCTGAAACTCAGAGAGAAATCATTCATTTTGC